CAGCCCCTGCTCTGTACCACGGACACAACAACAACAACAACAACATCTCTGTGGTGACAGCAGCGCATTTGTCAGCAGAGGCTCCTCTGAAACCTGAGCAGAGTAATGAGCAAAGGTCCTGGCTGGACAGGGAAAGGGTCTCGTTCCATCTGAAAAGATGTTTGCTTGGCAGCTCTTGGGGCCAGGAGCTGAGCAGAGAGGAGCCTGCACACAAAGGGCTCAGTCTCAGCTCTAAAGCATCATTTTCTGTCTCATGGTCCTTTCACACAGCCCTGCTCGAGCACAGGGACAGCACAGGGACAGCAGGGGACACTGGAAAGTGGCACAGGGGAGGGCAGGGCCAGCAGAGACACTGCCATGGAGCTCAGACTCAGCTGCTCAAACTCCTCAAATCCTGGGACCAAAACCCTCAGCAGCCACATCTCAGCTGCCTCAGCCTTGAAAATGGATCATAAAAGTCAAGGTCACCACAAAATATCCTCCAGTGCTTTTCCTGCCCACCACCTTTCACAAACTGCACCAAAAGTGTGAGAACCAGGGAAAGTGAATTCCAGCCTAACACAGACATGTTTCATTTCAGCTCCCAGGAGTTTAAAAAAAGAGTCAAAAAGTATTAAAATACCATCCCAGAAAACAAGGCGTGAAATAAATCAAACTGGGCACAAACGAGCCCAGTTCCAGTCACTTAGGCAGCGTGAGGATGCGACTGATGTATTTATGCTTCATTTACAACAGATTTACTCCTTTGCTTACTCTCACCTTCAGGGGCACCACTTGCATCAGGATGGCGAAGTTGGTGAGGTGRTTGCACAGACACACCGAGTGGTTCAGGTCCCCACTGTCACGGACACAGCCCTCGTTAGACCAGACACCGGTCCCATTGCTGCAAARCACAAAAAATAGAATRTAATCTCTGTCARAAGGCATTTTATGTAGATTAATCTGTAATCTCTGTCAAAAGGCATCTTGTGAGGTTCATTTGTGATCTCTGTCCAAAGGCATTTTATGTAGATTAATCTTGTGCAGGTTAATTTGACACGTGTGGTTCTCTACAGGGGACAAATGTCCCCAAAGCCATCTCAGGCTGGACGGGGGCTCAGGCATCACCACCCCAGTGTCTGACAGGGATTATTTATTGCTTCTGGAACTTTATAGTTATATCAGTATATCACTAATATTATATCTATATTATAGATATATTAGTATATCACTAATATAGTGATTATTTATTGTTTCTGGAACTTTCCTGAGTCCTGCAGACAGACTGAGTGATCTGTGCTTTTCTCAGTGCTTCTKTTAAAGACAGAGATCACCTCACAGTGGTGCCCTTCGGGACCTCCCTGAGCTCTCAAAGAGGGTCTGCTGTAGGTCACAAACTGAATTAACTGCCATGCACTGGSGAATAAAACCATCTTGACACAAATGAAGCTCATTTGGAAGGACAGATTTCATATTTAAGTTTGTGTCCTTGCAGAGCCTCCAGGGCCCAAGCCCCAGTGGAGAGCAGCACAGGAACAATGCTGCAACCACATTAATTTGCTTCACTAAAATCTGCTTCTAATTTATCGTAATTTGTGAGTAACCATAACAACAAGTAACTGCCAACAGCTGGGACAGTTCAGCACATTTGGAACAAAACTYCAGTGAAACAATGACTGTGACCTTCCCCAGTGCATTTGTGCAGGAGGGATCACAGCGTCCCAGGCTGCTGCTGCAGCTATTGGGCGTTTAATGGTATGGCTCAAAAACTGTTAATCCCCATGAAATTCAAAATTCACTATTTGTATTCTTTCTCAATTAATTCAGTAAGAGCAGCATGTTTCAAAAGTGAAAAAAAAATGTATTCAGAGCTAAAAAAAAAAAAAGAAACAGCTACTGCTTTTCCATAGCTCTTATTTTCGGAGTGAAATTGAGGTGATATTTATTTCCCTTTAATTCTAATTTGCATTCAGGGATATTATATTTATCCATTCCATGCATTGGCCAAAATTCACAGCTCTGAAGCGCTGGTGCCCCATGTGCAGTGACAGGCACAGCTCCAGTGCAAACAATGCTGGATTTTGGCAGGGAAGGGAGTGACCCATCCGAGATGTGCCAAAATCCAGCAGAGACCTCAGCAGGGAGAGGAGCACGACTGGGATCAGTCTGCAGTTCTGATTGCATTCCCAATTACACACCTAACCCAGGGTCTGTGAAAAACCATCTCCTTTTYATGGAAAGGAGAAACAATCAGATCATGGCTTTTATAAACCAGTGTTTCCATTTCTTTAACGATTTCCACAAATGAAAGGAAGCAAGAAGGATTTAGGTAACACACAGCRTCACAATCTAAGAGCATTTAATCAACCCAAGGTAAAGAATTGAAATTATGCAACGTACCTATAGTCCAGAAATGCACAGTAAAGATGAACTCTGTTGCTTTTATTTAGTGCTTGGCTGTATTGCTTGGGTGTCTGCAAGRAAAGAATATAAACCCTGAAGGAATGTTTCAAAAGGATTAAATTTCATATTCAGCTGCTATCAATTCTCATTGCTACAATAATTTCAAGAGACTTGTTCTAGACTAACACACCATAACTGACAGAAAAATTGCTCAGCCCTCGTAGCTTTAACACAATCTCCAAACATGCAGAGTGGCATTCAGTCTTAATTCCACRCTGGGATTTGACTGGGACCACTTTGAGTGAGGAATCTGTGTCCCGTTTAAGTGAATAGCAAAGCAGGATCATTTACTGTCTATAAGCACAAATACATGTGTTAATTTTTGCAGGATTGGGACATTATTCTTSGGCACATATTTGGCTTCTTTGGGTTTTGTTCATCGTTTGTTCTCAGTGGGTAATAAAAGTGTCACATTTTACGATGAATAACACTGAAATATGTGCATTACAATGACCAACTCCCAGACATTTTCCTTCCACAATAGCAATTATTTTAAAACATACATTCAAACTGAAAGAACAATTCCATAATTCAAGATTTTATTTTAGCACACCTCAGCATTATAATGACATAATTTCTATCTTCCATAAACAGGTTTAGCAGCTAACTCAATCTCCTGTATTCAAGAAGCTTTGAGATCCCATTCTCCACTCCGTTACATGAGCTTGATGACAAAATTATTCAAATTATATTGGAGTGAAGTAATAGTTTGTTACAGATAAAATATGCAAACGAGAGGATTTCCAGTGTTTGCTCAACCCTTTCTAATACATAAATCCCCAAAGTCCACATTATGTGGACCCTTCCTTATGGCAATTTTTTAATTACAAGAGTCTTCAGCATAAACAAATCAGCGCTGAACTAACAGCTCTCGGATTATTGCAACACAATTGTGCTGTCAACACGAAACACCATCAGGTTTTGCTTTCCTTGTTTTGGGGAATGAAGAAAAATAACCCCACCACCTCATCCTGCTGAAACTCAACCAAGTACAAGAAGTTCCTGATGCAATTTTCCTGCTG